GTGGATTATTTTTTAATACATTTATTTATGTATGTATTTATTTGGCTGCATTTGGTATTCATTGCTGCGCATGGGCTTTTTCTAGTTGTGGCAAGTGGGGGCTACTGTTCATTGCGGTGCATGGGCTTCTCATGGCGGTGGCTTCTCCTGTTGCCGAGCACAGGCTCTAGGCGCGCAGGCTCAGTAGTTGTGACACACGGGCTCAGTAGTTGTGGCTCGCGGGCTCTAGAGCACAGGCTCAGTAGTTGTGGCGCGCAGGCTCAGTAGTTGTGGCTCGTGGGCTCTAGAGCGCAGGCTCAGTAGTTGTGGCGCACAGGCTTAGTTGCTCCGTGACATGTGGGATCTTCCCGGACCAGGGCTCGAACCCATGTCCACTGCATTGGCAGGTGGATTCTTAACCACTGCGCAACCAGGGAAGTCGCAGTCCTGTGAATTTTGAATTGAGTCTCCTCTAATATTCTTCAAGAGACATAAGTGAATATTCGAATTAATTTTAATTACTTCTGGTTGATCAATTATTTGAATGTGACAGTGCTGAGGTTGGCAACATGGAGCCTTTGGATTCACTCAGGTTATAAGGGAAGTACATACGGAAGGTCTAGGATATGATGAAGAGAAAGGGTTGAGAAGAAAAGTTAAGAGGGGCAAATCAGGTTTGCAAGCATGAGCAGTAGCAGAGACGAAGAATGGTAAGATATGACTCAGCTTCATGGTTCATGGCTCAAGCCAGACGCAGAGAAAGAGATGGGAGAGTAGCAAGTAAACAGGCCTAGCAACAGTCAGATGCTGACTGTTTTTCCCACCTTCTCTTTAGAAAACCACGTATTTGAGTGTACATGTCGTAGGGACACTCTAGACTTAGCAAGAAGCTAAGCCACTTAGAAGAACAGAGAGTGGAGACAGCATAGGTGAGATTAACCTATGCATATTTGATTGCCCTAATGTGTCTTAACTAGAGTATTTGTAAGCCTGACAGGATAAACTCAGATTTTGCTCTTCCTTTGAAGAAATAACTCTCTGTAATATACCAAAAACTCATTAGAGAATTAAGAAGCAAAATTTCTGTCTCTAAAGGAGGCTAAAACTGCTAAAATAGAATCCTGGGCATCCATCCCAGTTGCTTTTAATGGCACCAGGAAACTAAGATAATCCTCTTCCTCCTTGCTTTGGCTCATTTTACCAGCCCTGAGCCTTTCTGAAAGCCAGCCCTTTCCACTTTTGTCCAATAACATTTCTTTGTGCTCAACTGACCAGTTTAGGTTATTTTCTGCCTCTTTGGGATTTTTTTGCTCCAGGTCCCCTGTAGTTTTAAAATTACATTCTTCTAACCATTATTTATCTTTCACTTTCATAAGTCAACTTTTATTCACACTTTAATCTACAGCTAGTTACACAAATTAGAAATGAAAGGGTCATCCTTGCCCTTGCCTCTCTCTTTTACTGGCCTTATTCAGTCATGGGAATTTAACCTTCTAAGTATCTCAGGTTTATCCGCCTGCCCACGCTGCCTTGGTTTAGGCCATCATCACCCCTGGTCTGAACAGCTGCTGCACCATTACTGAGTGCTCCTTCCTACAGCCGCAATCATGTCACTGCCCAGATTTAAATCCTTTAATGCCCTCCCCCGCCCTACAGGGTAAAACCCCAGCTCTTAAGCATGGTGGACAAAGTCTTTTAGGCCTGGTCCCTGTTGGCTGTCCCTGTATCTTCTTCTCCCTCTCCTAGACACACTCCCTCTGTGAGTCAGTAATACTGAGCCTCTGGAAATTCTCCAGATGCACCCAGCTCCTTCCTAAGCTCTGTGCTCTTGCACATGCTCTTCCCACACCCAAGATGCCCAACCTCAATTGTCTGCCTTCAAGTCATGACTTAAAACCGCCCTAATTACTCAGGTGGACTTGGGAATTTCCTCCTGAACTCCTCTCACTCCTTGTCTACTCTTCTGCTACAGCACTTGTCACCCAGTAGTATCATTATCTGATTGTGAACTCAAGTTCTTCTTGCACTGTGACCTTCTTAAGGGCAGAGACAGCATGGTGCCTGGCATAATTGTAAAATGAGTAAATAAACAAAGCAGAAAAGGGATCACTTAGAACACAGAAGGGCAGTTTTGTCACGGTCCCAAAGCCTCAGTTCAGAGTCCCCAGAGATCAGTGACACATCAGGGTAATGGCTTAGGGTTGTCTTTATGTCTTTAAGGAACAAAATCTAGACAGACGGTCTCTGACATGAAGTTCTATATGGTTCTTGTTCAAGTCTATTAGATCATTTTTATGGTCTCTTGTTCCGTGCTCATATTTTCAAGTCACCCTTTTTTTGAGGGAAAACTTATAATAAAAACATACCTTGTCTCTTCTACTTGCTGTAGCAATCAAACTAAAAGTTCTCAGTCACTAAGGTTGAATAGATTCCTTCAGGCTAAACCACTCCCCAGGATTCCTTCTTTCACTTTATTTTTTGACTTCTGTAGATTCTTTCATTTCTTGCCATCTCAGCAACTCATTTAACATAGTGATTGTTATGTATTATGTAGCTTTTGCAGTCATTTCATTGGGAAAGTCCTTATGATAGCTAATCAACAAGCTTGCCTTCCTTTTGTCCATGTAAACAGACCCAGAATATCCTGATCATGGATGGACACATAGCAGAGGCTGAGACTTAGTCTCCAGTCTCTCTGGGCCCTTGGTTGGTCCAGGCTGAGCATGTGCCCCAAGCGAAGACAGAGAACTTCTGCAGGAATTTTCTAATCCCAGACAAGGGCAAAGGGATTTTTTTTTCCTCTCTTTGGTTTTGAGCTGTGAGAATGTGATACCAAGCATCTTTGGTACTCATTTTTTCCCCTGCCATGAGATGAAAGCTTGTTTGCTATAGAAGTGGTTAAAGCCAAGCAAAGACCAGCAAAGATGAGAGATGAGTTGAGAAAGAGTGATAGAGGGGAAAGAAAGAGCACTTTGGAGGTATTAGGTTTTCAGTTCCAATTCCTGAGATCCTTGGAGCTTCATGAGTTCCTACAGCCCTTCCTTGGATACTATGACAAAACCAAATATCCTTCCTATAAACTCCTTTTTTATGCTTAATTTAGTATCAGTTGGATTTCTAACACTTTTAGCCAACTCATTCTAATATAGGTCCTCCTTTTTTAATTTTTGCTCTGAATATATGATATTGCAAACACTCAAAGTTTTCACTAATACCAAGAGTCGCTGCTTTTTTTTTTTTTTTTTTTTTTTCGGAAGACCATTGTCTCTTTCAAATGGAGTTCTGACTGACCACACTACCGTAGCATTATGGCATGGGAATGTGACAACCTTTTGGGGTAGCAGAGGATGTGGGAATCACTGGTTTATCCTGGTCTGTACTGGCACCCTGCTTTTTGAAACTAAAATAATAGAGTGGCAGAGTTCTTATAAAACCAAATGATGATAGAATTTGTATCAGTCAGGGCCTAGTCAGTAAACAGAGTAATTTAGTAATTAGATAGGAAAGATTTAATAGGAAGAATTATCAACTTGTAACAGGAGATTGGAGTAACAGGAGATTTACCCCTTGGTAAAGAGGACTTAAAAATAAAGCAATAGCAGCTATAAGGAACAGCTACTACCCCTTGGTCTGAGGCAGAGTACCCAAGGAAGGAACACATTTGGGATATTCTGCTTCTCCCCATCTAATGCTGATATTCAGACCTCTTTGGGGAAGGTGCAGCTATAACCCTCTGGGTGGCAAAGGAGTTCACTAAGAAGCTGTGAGCCAAGATTGGAAAGCAGGAAATAGGTTACTGGGATGCTGAAGAAACTCACTGGCAAGCTTCCCATGGAGAGGGGCTGCTGTTGAATTTTCTGGGAAGTTAACTGGTCATCATTGGGACTCATTGGGAAGTCACTCACCCAGGGGGAACAGGGTGCTTGCTGGGAATCTGGCTGGAGTATCTACAGAACTCATGGGAAGGTGTGTGTGTGCAGAATGCTGCTGAGCTTGCAGAGATGTCATCTGGTGCACCCATGGAACTTGCTGGAAAGATACCTGCCTGGGTACCCCCTGACATCTGCTGGAGGTTAGCTCTGCTGGTTGTCCTGCATGCTAGCTGAGTCACTTCAGTGCCCTCCATTGGCATAGCTTAACATCATGCCAGCTGTCAAAGGAGGAATACACATAAGATTTGGCTCTAATACAAGGTTTGTACAAATTAGGTTTCTGTATAGGGCAAGGAGCAGCTGAAATGCCACATTTCAGAGTCTATTTTTTTTTAACTGATGTGTAGTTGATTTACAATGTTGTGTTAGTTTCTGCTGTACAGCAAAGTTATTCAGTTATACATATGTATACATTCTTTTTTCATATTCTTTTCCATTATCGTTTGTCACAGGATATTGAATATAGTTCCCTGTGCCATACAGTAGGACCTTGTTGTTTATCCATTCTATACATAATAGTTTGCATCTGCTAATCCCAAACTCCCAATCCATCCTTCCCTACCCACCCCACCTTGTCAACCACAAGCCTGTTCTCTGTCAGCAAGTCTGTTTCTGTTTTGCACATAGGTTCATTTGTGTCATACTTTAGATTCCACATATCAGTGACATCATATGGTATTTGTCTTTCTCTTTCTGACTTACTTCACTTAGTATAATAATCTCTAAGTCCATCCATATTGCTGTAACAAGCATTATTTCATTCCTTTTTATGGCTGCATAGTATCCCATTGCATATATGTACCACATCTTCAGAGTCTACTTTAGAGTCTACAAGTAAAGACAGTGTGTGGTCTTAGAGCTGGGTGTGGAAGCATCTGGGAGAGCTGGGCCAGAGGTCACGGGACCAGTTCTGGGAGCTCAGACATTATCACATGAGCTATGAACACACCTTGTCCTGCCCTTCATTTGTAGATAGGTGAGACCTGGTTAAAGTGATCCTGAATGGGAACAATGAAGGTAAAATGAGGAGAAGAAAGCCCACCAAAAGGCAGTAGACAGAGTGGCATGTGTAAAAGCAGAGAGGCTTACCATCCAGGTCTCTAGCCTTTAGGCAATGCTGGGTATACAGCATATTTCTGAGCCTCAGTTCTTCTGTAGCGCCAGCTGGCTCATTTCCTGCTTCCTTTTTCTCTTCTCTGTGGTGTTTCAGCTGCTTGTCTCCACAGTCCAGTGCAAGCACTGAATCCAGGTCCTTAATAATGTGCTGATTGCTACAGGTGATTCTGACTAGATGTAATAATGCAGAATTAAATTCACCATTCTAATGAAAGAGGGAAAACAGAAATCCATTATATAGGAATTCAAATTTAGTGCTAGTATAAATTGCAAGTATTTTAAAAGAAAAAAAAAGAAAGAAGACGTTACAATTGATACCACAGAAATACAAAGAATCGTAAGAAACTACTATGAACAATTACAGGCCAAAAAATCAGACAACCTAGGAGAAATGATAAATTTCTAGAAACATACCAAGACTGAATCATGAAGAAATAGAAAATAGAAAATTTGAATAGACCAGGTAATAGTAAAGATGAATCAGTAACCGAAACTCTCAACAAATAAAATCCAGGACCAGATGGCTTCACTGGTGAATTCTACCAAACATTCAAAGAAGAGTTAATACCAATCCTTTTCAAACTCTTCCAAAAAATAGAAGAGGAGGGAACACTTCCGAATTCTTTTATGAGGCCAGCATTACCCTGATACCAAAACCAGACAAGAAGCCCAGAAGAAAAAAAAAATTACAGGCCAATATCCCTGATGAACATAGATGCAAAAATCCTCAACAAAATGGTAGCAAACTGAATTCAACAATACATTAAAAGGATCATACACCATGATCAAGTGGGATTTATTTCAAGAATACAAGGATGGTTCTATATCTGCAAATCAATCAACGTGATACACCACATCAATAAAATGAAGGATAAAAATCATATAATTATCTCAATAGATGCAGGAAAAACTTTTGACAGAATTCAACATCCACTTATGATAAAAATTCTCAACAAAGTAGGTATAGCAGGAAAGTACGTCAACATAATAAAGACCATATATGACAAGCCCACAGCTAACATCATACTCAACAGTAAAAACCTGACAGCTTTTCCTCTAAGGTCAGGAACAAGACAAGGATGTCCACTCTTGCCACTTTTATTCAACATAGCGTTGGAAATCCTAAATCAAAATAATTAGGGAACAAAAGGAAATAAAATACATCCAAATGAAAAGGAAGAACATAAACTGTCTCTACTTGTAAATGACATGATATTATTTATAGAAAACCCTAAAGACTCCACCAAAAACTGTTAGAATAAATGAATTCAGTAAAGTTGCAGAATAAAATATTAACCTACAAAAATCAGTTGTATTTCTATACACTAATAACAAACTCTCAGAAATAAAAGTCAAGAAAACAATCCTATTTAAAACTGCATCAAAAAGAATAAAATACCTATGAATAAATTTAACCAAGAAAGTGAAAGACTTGTACACTGAAAACTGTATATTGATGAAAGAAATTAAAGAAGACACAAATAAATGGCAAGATATTACATTCTTGTAGATTGGAAGAATTAATATTCTTTAAATGTCCATGCTACCCAAAGTACTGATTCAATGCAATTCCTATCAAAATTCAATGGCATTTGTCACAAAAATAGAACAAACAATCCTAAAATTTGTGTGGAACTGCAGAAGAGCCCAAATAGCCAAAGCAACCTTGAGAAAGAAGAACAAAGCTGGAGGCATAACACTTCCTGATTTCAAACTACACTACAAAGCTATAGTAGTCAAAACAGTGTAGTATTGGCATAAAAACAAACACATAGATCAGTGGAATAGAATAGAGGGCCCCAAAACAAACCTGTGCATACAAGATCAGTTAATTTGTGACAAAAGAGACAAGAATTTACAGTGGGGAAAGGTTAGTCTCCTCGATAAATGGTGCTGGGAAAATTGGAGAGCCACATGTTAAAGAATGAAGCTGGACCACTTTCTTATACCATACACAAAAATCAACTCAGATTCAATTAAACACTTGAACATAAGACCTAAAGCCATAAAACTAAAAGAAAACACGGAGTAAGCTCCTTGACTTTGGTCTTGGCAATGATTCTTTGGATTTGACACCAATTCTGAACAGCAGAGGAAACAATCATAAAACAAAAAGTTAACCTACAGAATGGGAGGAAATTATTTGCAAATCATATATCTGATAAGGGGCTAATATCTAAAACAAATAAAGAAGTTATACAACTCAAAGCAAAAAATAAATAATCCAATGGGCAAAATTAACAATGAACAGAGGAACTGAATAGACATTTTTACCAAGAAGATATACAAATGGCCCAAAGGTACATGAAAAGGTGCTCAACTTTACTAGTCATCAAGGAGATGCAAATCAAATCCACATTAAGGTATTACCTCATTCCTGTTAGAATGGCTGTCATCAACAAGAGATAACAATGTGGAAAAAAGGGAACCCTTGTGCAGTATTGGTGGGAATGTAAATTGGTGCAGCCACTACGGAAAACAGTATGGAGGTTCCTCAAAAAGTTAGAAATAGAATTACCATTTGATCCAGCCTTTCTACTTCTGGATATGTATATGAAGGAAATGAAATAACTATCTCAAAGAGATATCTGCACCCCCATGCTCATTGCAGCATTATTTACAATAGCCAATACATGGAAATAACCTAAGTGTCCATCAACAGATGAATGGATAAAGAAAATGTGACACACACACACACACAAAATATTGTCATTCAGCCATAAAAAAAGAAGGAAATCCTGTCATTTGCAACAACATGGATGGACCTTGAGGGCATTATGCTAAGTGAAATAAGTCAGAGAAAGATAAATACCATATGGTCTCACATATATGTGGAATTTTTTTAAAAACACCAAACTCAGAAAAAAACAATCAGATTTGTGGTTACCAGAAGCAGGGAGGTGGGGGAGAGAAGGAATTAGATGAAGGTGGTGAAAATGTACAAACTTCCAGTTACAACATAAATAAGTACTAGGGATATAATGTACAACATGATAACTATAGTTAACACTGCTGTATGGTATATATGAAAGTTGTTGAGCAATCCTATCATAAGGAAATTTTTTTTTCTTTCTTTTCCTTCCCTTTATATGTATAGGAGATAATGGATGTCAACTAAACTTGTTGTGATAATCTTTTTTTTTTTTTTTAAGTTGCTAAGAGAGTAGATCTTAAAAGTTCTCATCACAAGAAAAAAAATTTATGTGAGGTGATGGATGTTAACTAAATCTATTTTGGTAATCATTTAGCAATAAATACATATAGCAAATCCTTAGGTTGTATATACCTTAAATGAATACACTGTTATATATCAATTATATCTCAATAAAACTGGGAGGAGGTAGGACTTCCCTGGTGGTGCAGTGGTTAAGAATCCACCTGCCAATGCAGGCAACAGGGTTCAAGCCCTGGTCCAGGAAGATCCCAAATGCCATGGAGCAATTAAGCCCATGAACCACAGCTACTGAGCCTGTGCTCTAGAGCCCACAAGCCACAACTACTGAGCCTGCGTGCCACAACTACTGAACCTCATGCACCTAGAGCCCGTGCTCTGCAACAAGACAAGCCACTGCAATGAGAAGCCTACGCACTTCAATGAAGAGTAGCCCCCACTCGCTGCAACTAGAGAAAGTCTGCGCAGCAATGAAGACACAATGCAGCCAAAAATAAACAAAAAAAAAAACTTGGGGGGGTGATGAAGAACAGGATAATTTAAAAGTTTTTTTACAAGATTAGGTCAAGATGGCAGAGTAGGAGGACATGCTCTCACTCCCTCTTGTGAGAACACTGGAATCACAGCTAACTGCTGAACAAACATCGACAGGAAGACACTGGAACGCACCAAAAAAAATATCCCACATCCAAAGCCAAAGGAGAAGCCACAATGAGATGGTAGGAGGGGCGCAATCACAATAAAATCAAATCCCATAACTGCTGGGTTGGAGACCCACAAACTGGAGAACACTTATACCACAGAAGTCTACCCACTGGAGTGAAGGTTCTGAGCCCCACGTCAGGCTTCCAAAGCTGGGGGTCTGGCAATGGGAGGAGGAATTCCTAGAGAATCAGCCTTTGAAGGCTTGTGGGATTTGACTGCAGGACTTCGACAGAACTGAGGTAAACAGAGACTCCACTCTTGGAGGGCCCAGACAAAGTAGTGTGCGCATTGGGACCCAGGGGAAGGAGCAGTAACCCCCATAGGAGACTGAACCAGACCTACCTGCTAGTGTTGGAGGGTCTCCTGCAGAGGCGGGGGGGTGGCTCTGTCTCACTGTGAGGACAAGGACACTGGCAGCAAAAGTTCTGGGAAGTACTCCTTGGCGGGAGCCCTCCCAGAGTCCGCCATTAGCCCCAACAAAGAGCCTGGGTAGGCTCCAGTGTTGAGTCCCCTCAGGCCAAACAACCAACAGGGAGGGGACCCAGCCCCACCGATCAGCAGACAAGCGGATTAAAGTTTTACTGAGCGCTGCCCACCAGAGCAACAGCCAGCTCTACCCACCACCAGTCCCTCCCATCAGGAAACTTGGACAAGCCTCTTAGATAGCCTCATCCACCAGAGGGCAGACAGCAGAAGCAAGAAGAACTACAGTCCTGCAGCCTGTGGAACAGAAACCACATTCACAGAAAGGTAGACAAGATGAAAAGGCAGAGGGCTATGTACCAGATGAAGAACAAGATAAAACCCCAGAAAAACAACTAAATGAAGTGGAGATAGGCAACCTTCCAGAAAAAGAATTCAGAAAAATGATAGTGAAGATGATCCAGAACCTCGGAAAAAGAATGGAAGCAAAGAACCAGAAGGTGCAAGAAATGTTTAACAAAGACCTAGAAGAATTAAAGAACAAACAAACAGAGATGAACAATACAATAATTGAAATGAAAAATACTCTACAAGGAATCAATAGCAGAATAACTGAGGCAGAAGAACGGAGAAGTGACCTGGAAGACAGAATGGTGGAATTCACTGCTGCAGAACAGAATAAAGAAAAAAGAATGAAAAGAAATGAAGACAGCATAAGAGACCTCGGGGACAACATTAAACACAACAACATTCGCATTATAGGGGTCCCAGAAGGAGAAGAGAGAGAGAAAGGACCTGAGAAAATATTTGAAGAGATTATAGTTGAAAACTTCCCTAACATGGGAAAGGAAATAGCCACCCAAGTCCAGGAAGTGCAGAGAGTCCCATACAGGATAAACCCAAGG